ATACTTTTTCTTTCCTTTTTTTATTAATAGCAGTCACTATTATAATAATGTGAAGTCTTTCTAGGTTGGAAAACCTAAGAAAAATGCCAATGATTTTTTTCTTAGAATTACGCATGTTGATTCTAAACTACATATGGAAAAATAAGGAAGACTAGCCAGAGCAGTTATGAAAATTAAGTATAACCACATTACAGAGCCTCCAAAACACAAGGAAATTTAGCATTAATACATAAAAGATAGGCAGCTAAACAGAATAGGAGAGCACATCTAGAAATAGACTCATCTGTATGTATCAAGTAGCATCTAAAATTTGTGGATGAGGAAAACTTTTGAAAAAGTAAGGCTATGGCCATGCCCCATATTTTATGATAGGCTAAATTCCATAAAAATCAACAATTTAATGTAAAAATCGAAACAATAAAAAAAACTGATATAATTCTTCCTAATTGTGGAGTGAGGAAGGCCAGCCAAACTAGACATAAAACCTAGAAACTCTAAAAGACTGAAAGTTCAACTACCTTTTTTTTAAGTAGGCATGGCAAAAACTGCCATAAGCAGAACCAAAGGTAAAAAGAATACTTGCAAGTTACATCACAAGAAGTTTCTTTTATATACGTAGATAGCTAAATCCTACAAATTAGGGAAGAGGGTAAAAACAAAAAAACTCCCCCGAAAAGAAACAAAAAGTAAAAGAAACACAAGGCAAAATTTTCATGGACCCAGTAGTCAAGGATCCAAAAATACAGTAACTCACTATCTTGGTCAGGATATGCCAGAATCAATTTGTATAACTCATGGAGGGCAATTCACAAAATTTTATCTAATTTCAAAAGCACATAACTATTTCCAAATAATTATCCTCTAGATACATTTGGTCATTTGTGCAAAAGTTTATTTGCTATGGCACAATAGAGAAAGAATAAAAACAGCTTAAATGCCTCACTAGAGAACTGTTTTTATAAATAACAAGATTTCCATGCAGTGGAATACTATACACTGTAGAAAGGAAAGGAGAGTATTTTCTGTAGGGATAAAGATAACCTCCAAAATACATCAAATGAAAAAAGCAAGGTACAAAATGGTGTGCATAACATACTGCTGTCTGTGCAAAAAGGTGGAAATCAAATACACACACACACACACGCTTAAATATTCCATAGATATCTAAGGATAAACAAAAATAGAACCATCAAAGATCACTGCCTGTGGAGAAAGATTAGAAACCTAGTAGATAAGGATAGGAGAGAAAATATTCACTGTAGTACCTTTTTTTAAAATTCCTGAATTCGGAATGTGTTATGTATTTAAAAAAGACTTAATAAATAGGACCAAAGCAATGTTATCTTTCACAAGGAATCTTAATCTGGGACTTATGAAAACCTGGGGAGACAACTTCTAACCCTCCGAAAACTTTTTAAAGTGTATGTCTATGTGCATTTTTTCTGAAGCAGTCTATAGTTTCCATCAGACTCACGAGGAGCAGCTAAACACCCAATATATAAAGAACCACTTTCTTAAATGAACGCCTAGAAGTAGAAATGTGAATTTATGGCACGTTATGCAATAATCCTATAGATTAATATAGTGGATGATTTTTCAATTTGAATACTTTAAAAGTGTATTAATAAACAAGTAGGTTATATGTAGTTAAGAACATCCTGTTTGTGTCACCTTCTCTTCTAGTTGTTCACACTATTGCTGCCTTTTCAATTATGATACACCTGCAAGGGTCTGAGAGTCAGACAACAGAATTCACAAAATAAAAGGTCTACAATAATCTATTATGTCCTTTACAAATTGGGTTTGGATATAGGTTCACATATAACCTAATACTATCTCGGAAAAATCTACTTTTTCTCTGTGTTAGTCATGGACTTGTATCATGCTTCTTTTAATTACATGCATTGTTTGATGCTAGAAACTGTTATAAAGAGGTTATTATAAAGAGCACTAGCCATATATGATGTTGTATATCTCCCTCCTTTTCTCCTTAAGCCTCAGTTTCCTTACATGTAAAATAGTGATAATACTAGTACTTGTTAAACTTGGTCCTGTACCTGGGTATCTGGCCAAGGAAAATATCTTACAGATGTTAGATATTACCTTTAACTACTAACCCTAATTCAGTGTACTGCATAAGACTTAAAAATCAATATATGCTAAATTCTGAGACAGTATTTACTCTATCTTTAAAAATTGTGGCATTAATCCATTCATTTTACAAATAATTGCTAGAGAATTTCATTTCTTCCCTCGGATTCCCTTTGCATTGTATTTCTTTTTAAAAAAAAAAAAATTTATTTTATTTATTTGAAAGGCAGTTACAGAGAGGAAGAGCCAGAGAGAGAGAAACGTCTTCCACCCACTGGTTCACTCCCCAACAGCCACAGCTGAGCTGGTCCAAAGCCAGGATCCAGGAGTGTCTTCTGGGTTTCCCACGTGGGTGAAGGGACCCAAGGACTTGGGCCATCTTCCATTGCTTTCCCAGGCCATAGCAGAGAGCTGGATCGAAGTGGAGCAGCCAGGACTCTAACTGGTGCCCATATGGGATGCTGGCACTTCAGGCTGGGGCTTTAACCCGCTGTGCCACAGCACCCGCCCCATGTATTGATTGTATTTCACAATGGCTTCATTCATATGGTCTTGAAGAATTCCACCAAACTGAATTAAAATCAGGAGATAAAAAAAAATCTCAACACTTTAAAAAAATGAAATACCCTTTAGGCATCCATAGAAATAAGAGTTGTTAGATTCTAAACACATGAATACAGATAACCAAGGAAGAGACTGAATCAGTAATAGTCTCTCAACAAAGAAAAGTTCAGAACCAAATGGTTTCACCGCTGAATTCTACCAAACTTTTAAAGAACTAACACCAATTCTTCTCAACCAATTTAAAGCAGTAGAAAGGAAGAGAACCCTTCCAAAATCATTCTATGAGGCTAGGATCACTTTAATTCCAAAATCAGACAAGGATACAAAAACAAAAAAGAGTGAACTACAGATGAATATTCCTGATGAAAGCAGATGTAAAACTCTTCAGCAAAATACTAGCAATTCAAATCCAACAACACATTAAAAAGATCATCCACCCTGACCAAGTGGGATTTCTGCTAGGGTACAAGGATGGTTCAACATATGCAAATCAATTAACATGATATACTATATCAACTGAATGAAGGCTAAAAAAATCTAATGATTACTCAATAGATGTACAGAAATCATTTGATGAAACACAACATGATAAAAACCTTAGATAAGTGTAGAAGGAACATACCTCAACACAATCAAGGCAATATATTACAAGTGCACAGCCAACATCATAATGAATGGAGAAAAGCTCAAAGCATTTCCACTAAGACCTGGAACCACTCAAGGATGCCCATTCTTGCCACTCTCTTTCAATATAGTTCTGAAAGCTTTAACCCACAAGCATTAGGACAGAGAAATAAGAAAAAGGTATACAAACTGGAATGCAGGAAGTCATAACCCTATTTGCAGGTAACATGATTCTACATAGAAGGGAACCAAAGATTCCACCAGGGTTTCCAATTTACTGTATCACTGACTAGCTTTGGGCAAGGCACTTTACCTCTGAATCAGAACCTTCACCTGTAAAAGAAGAGGATACCCACATCATATTGTGGTAAGATAAGCAAGCATTTATAAGTGGGTTGGGCCGGCACCGTGGCTCACTTGGTTAATCCTCTGCCTGCAGTGCCCGGTTCTAGTCCCGGTTGCTCCTCTTCCAGTCCAGCTCTCTGCTGTGGCCTGGGAAGGCAGTGGAGGATGCCCCAAGTGCTTGGGCACCTGCACCCACATGGTCGACCAGGAGGAAGCACCTGGCTCCTGGCTTTGAATCATCACAGAGGCGGCCGTGACAGCCATTTGGGGGGTGAACCAACGGAAGGAAGACCTTTCTCTCTTTCTCTCTTTCACTAACTCTACCTGTCCAATAAAAAATTTTTTTTAAAAAGTGGGCTAACAAAATGCTGGAAAAATTGTGTATCTAAATGCAAAATAATAAGCTTGAATCCACAGCTAACACTGTACAAAAAATTAACTCAGCCTGAGTCATAGAGATTTAAATGTAAAAACTAAAACTACAAAACTTCTGGAAGAAAACATGGAAAAATCTTTGTCACCCTAGGTTAGGCAAAGATTTCTTAGGTGTGACACCACAAGTAAAATGTGTAAAAGAACAAATAATCTGAATTCTAGCAAAATAAATGTCTCTTTTTCAAAACATGTGAAGAGAATGAAGACAAGCCAAACACTGGGAGACCCGTTTGCAAAGATACAAGACCTATAATAACAAGTGTTGGCGAGGATAGGGATACACCAGAACTCTTAATCATTGCTGATAGGTGTGTAAAATGTCTCATCCACTTTGGAAAGGTTTCTTAAAATGTTAAGCAAGCCATATATTGCACGACCCAGCAATTCCACCCATTTACAGAACCTCTAGAAAACGCAAAGCAGATCACTGGTTGCATATGTAAATGAGAGGCAAACACTTCCAAGGGGGCGTGAGGAAACTTCCTGGGCTGAGGGTTTCTTTCGTTCACCATCCTGTCATGTCAAAATTTGAGCACTGGTCTTTTGTTTTTTTGTATTTTTAAAAATAGGTTAGCAGAATGCGAATTCTTCAACTCCCTGAACTCCTTGGAATCAGTTTTCTGGAAATAACTTTAAAATAATGTAACGAGGAAAGTGGAGTGGGACCCACCTGTACCTTAAAAACTACGGGAGTTTACGTAACTTGACAACTCCGTCGAGAAAATACGGCTGCAATGTTCCAAAAAGCCGGTTTGGAAAACATCACCTCCACATCCCGGACATCAGGGGACAGACACATCCAGGGAGGACGTCGTTGAGTGTGAATGGGGGCGACCCTACCCTCGAGGTTTGGCTAGGGCAGCCCCGCTTAGAGGAAACAGCGTCCTTGTCCCACCCCGCCACAAGCAGCCCGCTGGCTCCACGCCCGCCCACTCTCCCACCTGCATGTTCCGCAAGAGCTGGAAGATCTCCATGGTGCGGTACACGATGTCCTGGACAGTCTCCTGCCCGATCCGGCAGAGCGACGCCGTGTTGACCTCCCGGGCGGCCTGCTGAGCCTGGGGTCCGGCGAAAGGCCCGGCCGCCATCCCCGATGCCGCCAGCGGAGGGGTGGACATGGCGTCGCGGCAGCCTCAGGCCCACAGGGACTGGAAGTAGGGAGTCGGGAGTCCGCCCGGAATTACTGGACTGCTAGGCCTTGGCGTGGGCTGAAGCTTGAAAGACCCGGGCCGAGCGTTTTCAAAACACCGGACCGTGACTTCCTCCCACGTGACCTATACGTCATCAAAACGTCGCGGACACCGCCCACTTGACGGGGCCCTGGGAACTTTCTCCATGCGAAGCTTAGTAGGATTGGGCCGCGGACATGACGGACGGATTGAGTAGCCAATCAGAGACTGCAATCGGGCCGGAGGGGGTGGGGGCGTGGTGGACTTTCCCAGAGTTCGTTTCCCAGAGTGTCAGCCCGGCTTTGGAATTCGCGGCGGAATGCAGCTATTGTGTTGCGTTGCTTGCTGAGTATTTTTGTCATAAGTAGCCTATCCGGCTTGAAGTGCTATTGTCATTTTGCAGCTGGGGAGGAAAGCTCAGAGGGGTTACTGCTCTCTTCCCTCCTCAGAGGGATTAAAGTGCTTATTTAGGCTCGCAGAGTTTGTTATTGACGACCTGTGATTGGAACTCGGAAATTCTCACCTTGCCTGCTTTTCTGCGAGCTGACACCGACTCCCTGCTATTTTGGGGGACCTGTTAAAATGTTTTGTTCAGGAAGTTTATCCGATCTAAGTAAAAAAATCAGCGTGCGTGCGCGCACACGCACACACACACCTTTTTTGACAGTAGGCACTGCTCTGATGTAATTTTCTATTTGTTAACTTTTGACCTTCACCCTATACACACATACACTAACATGCAAACTTGGTAAAAACAGAGGCTGTGTGTGTTTTGCTCGCTCAGTCTCTGCACTTAGTAATTGGCCTGCTGAATGTGCCCAATAAATGTCGAATGATTTTTGAGTGACTTAAATGCAAGAAAATTAAAACTATTATCTCACCCACCTCTTACCGCCCATTTCAAAGGGGGAGTCAAGAATGTGAAAAATGGTGATAGATAAAAATCTGTGCGTTTTAAAAAATACGCTAACACTAAATTTGTACAGGCTTTTCAGGAATTGGTTCATAATTCCAGAAAATGGCATAGTAATTTGCAGCATTTTGGTGAGCAATTCCACTTGACAAATATTTATTGAGTACCTACTATGTGCTGGATGCTAGGAATGAATATAGAGCGGTAAACAAGTCAGGCAAAAGCCCTACATGGAGACAGAAGACTGTGACGAGTGTGTTGAAGCAAAAGTCCTGCTGTGGGGAAAGCTAACAATTTAGGAGATTTGGGAACAAGCTGAGTAAATTAGGTCCTGTAGGTGGATAGGGGAGAAGGTCCTAAACATTGGAGGCTTTGTTTGCTTGTTTTGAGGGAGCAGAGGACAAGGAAGACCAATGCCAACCTGAAGTGAGGACGTCTCAATGGTTTCCAGGGTCTGAAAGCTTAGTGTGAAGATGAGTGTTTCCAAACAGGGCTGAAGACATGCAAACCATGGAGGACCCTCTGAGCCATGTGAAGCAGTTTAGCAACCCAGTGAAGAGTTTCAAGAACAGGGGAACAATTCTCTGACTTAATCAAGTTAGGAGACATATTCTCTGCTAAATGGGGAATGGATGGTGAATGCGTACTGCCCTTCTGTCCCGAGGAAGGTTGATGACGATCTATCTGCCTTAGAGAATGATACAGTGGGTAACTTTGAATAAATGTTTAGTGTGGAATTTGGAGACCTTGGCATTGGCTATATTTGGGAATATGAAAGAAAGGAAGGAATCAAAGACCATATGTATTTCTGCCTTGAACAAATGGATGAAGTTTATGCCACTTACCAAGATGGGCACACTGAAGAAAACACAAGTTGCAGAGAAATGCGGCTTTGTATTGGCTTCCTATGGTTGCTGAAATAATGACCACAAACTTTATAGCTTAAAACAACGCAAATTTACCATCTAACAGTTTTGCAACTCAAAAGTTTGAAATGGACGGCACTAGGCTATACTTAACGCTGTTGGCAAAGCTGTGTTCTTTTCTGGAAGCTATCAGAAGGAAACTGTTTCATCGGCTTTTCCAAAGAAGGAATTGCTGCCTGACTCCTTGGCTTGTGGCCCTTTCTGCCACCCTTAAAGCTGGCATTTGCCAGTTGAGTTGTTTTTTATGATGACATTTCTCTGGCTCTCTGCCTCCCTTCCCATATTAGGGGACCCTTTTAACTACATTGAGCTCACCTAGATAATCTGGGCTATCTCTTCAGTCAGTTGTTTGGCAACTTCAATTTCATCTGCCGCATTAACTCCCCCTTGCCGTGTAACATATTCATGGGTTCTGGGCATTAGGATTCAGATGTGTTTTTGGGTATAGCTGTTCTGCTGACCTTGTACCTCCCTTCCAAGCTGAATTTACACCCATGTACCTAACAGTATATCTGGCTTCTTGACTTGTGTGGCTAATTGGCATCCAAAATCAAACACGTGATTCTCCCAAGCTTCTATTACATTATTACATTATTTTTCTTATCTCACTAAACTGGCACCATGGCATGCTTAGTTCCTCACCCTGGCTTCTCTCCCACTCCATTGCCAGGGCATCAGAAAATACAGTGAACACTAACTTTCAAATATGTCCTATATGTGACCACTTCCATTACATCACCTCTTCTACCCCACTCCAAGCTGTCTTCTTCTCTAATTGTTGCATAACAACAAAAAATGTCTCCTAACTGGACTTACTTTATGCTACTCTTGTCCCTTTCAGTTCACTCTCATTATAACACCCACAGGGAAGTGTCTGAAAGTGTATGTTGCCTGTGACCCTCTTCAAGTGAAGTTTCATCACACCCTACATACTGTAAGATCCAAAGCTGCACATGCCCGCATGTGCTGGCCCTGGGCCTCTGCTGTCATCTCAGCTCTTACTGCTCTCCCCTCATGGCCCCCTAGCATCCTTCTTGCTGTTTCTATACACTTCAAGCGCCTCTCCCTTCAGGGTCATTGTCTTTCCTTTTGACCTGGAAGCCTTTCCCTTAGTCTTTGAATGGTAATTGATTTAAAATAGCCTGCATTAGTTTTCTGCTACTGTTGGGATAAATTATCAGAATTTATTGGATTAAAGCAACCAAAATTTATTAGCTTATCATTTTGTAAGTCTGAAGTCTGGCCTGAGTCTCACCAGCCTAACCAACATCAAGGTGCTGACAAGACTGTGCGCACTCTGGAAACCCTGGGGGAAAACCTGTTTTCTCCTCATACATTTTGTCAGCAGAATTCAGTTCCTTGTGGGTGTAGGGCCGATGTCTGTGGGGAAATTAGGCATAGGAGGCAATTCAAAGATGGCGCCTGCAGGGAAATTAGGCACACATGGCAATTCAAAGATGGCACCCAAAGGAAGTAAGGTGGGCGGTGCCCAAAGTCGTTTACTACCAAAGCTGATTGGCCGCGCAGCATCAGAGGAGGTGACAACTGATGATGAGTGTACAGACATATGGCTGGTCCTGTGGAAAGTCACCCCGTAAAATGACCTTTTAAGTAATTGGTGGTCCTTATGCCCTGCCCCAGTAATCCTTCGGTCTTGTGCTTTAAAAGGCTTTGCTACCCATGCAATAAACCAAGTTCTTGCTTGCTTGAGTTGACTCCCCGCTGCGTCTGTCTCCGGGATCGGGAGGCTGGGGAATGGGCGAGCGGTACATTTACCTTTCTTTGGACCCAGTCCATCCTCGTTCAGGTGGACTAAGACCCTGCAGATGTCCCCATTTTTGTTTCTTATCTTTTTTTCCAAAGATTTATTTATTCACTATAAAGTCAGAGCTACAGAGCAAGGGGGAGAGAGAGAAAGAAAGAGGGAGAGAGGGAGAGAGAGAGCGGCAGAGAAAGAGAGGGAGAGGGAGAGAGAGAGAATGAAAATGAATGAGAATAAATATCTTCCCTCCACTGGCTCAGTCTCCAAATGGCTGCAACAACAGGGGTTGGGCAAGGCCGAAGCCAGGTGTCAGGAGCTTCATCACTTGGGCCGTCTTCCCCTGCCTTCCCAGGCATATCAGCAGGGAGCTGGATCAGAAATGGAGCAGTTTTGACACGAATCACTACTCACATGGGATGACAGTGTTGCAGGAGGCGGCCTAGCCCATTATACCACAATACTGACCCCATCCCCCAACCTGCAACTCTATTTTCTTACTGATTGTAAGTTGAGAGCCATTTCCATTGGTTTGTGGACTCTTCCTCCATCTTTTTAAAAGAAAACTTTTATTTAATAACTATAAATTTCTAAAGTACAACTTTTGGATTATAGTAGTTTTTCCCCCCATAA